AAAGTGCACTGTAAGAGCTGTTTGTGCAAGCCGTCCTTCGAGAAGACCACACTTGTAGATAGGCACAAAGGCAAGGTGACAAAGGAGGTGATAGAGGCTATTTACACAGCGGAAAGCGGGGCGCAGTGCATCAGCGAGCCTTCGGTGACTATATCTGAGTAAGAGATGTTTTTGACTTCGACAATGCCAAAATAAAAGGGGGAGGCGGGGGGGGGGGGGGGGGTAGCACGGGACACGTGGATGACCTGTTCTTAAGTAATGAGGCAGAAAGGTTGGCGCACGTGTAGATTGCTGCCTTACGTGTTTACTCTTCATGCTTTATGTAAATAAAACCTTCAGTTGCGAGTCAGCGCCTGTTCCCTCTTGATTTTTTCTTCCTTCTAGTCTTTGTCGTTCTGCGCTGTGTTACCTAAATTATTTTTAGCCTACAACAATTAGCTCAGCTTTCAACTTTGGTAGAGAGAGAGAGCCAGAGAGAAATAACAAATCAGGTGAACTGTGCCAGAAAGCACAGAACGGCGTCCGCACCGAAACGCTTAATTTTGCTTGTTTGTGTTTGTTTGTTTGTTTTTTCTTTATATTTTCTCCGACTACATCTTTGTTTCTACATGGAGCATGAGCATAATCGTCCAACGACCAAGCGTTCAGTTTCGCAGAATGTACTCTGCACTTTTCCTAGGGCTTACTAGCCTCTCTACCATTCTCCTCTGTTTTTGTGGCTGCGAGGCGCTTCATTATTATGGCGCTTACCTCGTAGGTTTAGTCAGCGTTTAGGAGAAAATTTCAAGATATATTTGGGGTTACAAAGTATCACAAAACTGCACCAAAACGATGATTGTGCTGTTTGTATTAAGCTTCCAGCAGCAATAATTGTTTCAGACAAAATTCTAGGTTTAGGAAAGAATAAAATGAGGCATAACAAGGTTTATGAGACTTTTTCACGCATTTTTATAGAAATATTTTAATAAAAGTTCAGGAGTAGGATTACATTAACACCTCCTATACAATGGCGATTGTATGCTGCTGTGGGTGTGATGTCCATGTATACAGTACAGTGGTTTGTGTAACCGGACTACTTATCAACAGGCAAGATAGCGAGAAGACGCTAGCACGTGTGGAAAAGAAACATGAAATATCTGAAAATACTTTATAACTCCAAACAGTTTCACCACATAAAAAACACACTAGCGTAGCTCGTTCAAACAGCAGTATGCTTATTTAGCCACCAATAAGATTACCGCACCGGTCATTATAAATTAAAGTGCCTTAAAGGGGAACTCCGCCAATTTTTTCAGGTACCTAAACCAAAGGCATAATCTGAATGCGGATGACTTCCTGATTCCCAAATGCTATCTCGTTCTCCCAGATTCATTCTAGTTAATTAAAAAATTATTTTTTTATGCTGCCGAAACCGAAACATCGTTCTCCCTAGTTTTTCCCCAGTTTTCCCTGCCACCCAAGCGTGACCCAAGCGTGACACCGGCGCAGAAGTGTATTACGTGGTGCTTGCGCTCTTTCGGGAGCTTCCATTGGGTTCTAAAAGTTACCTTTTAATCATAGTTTTATGTTGCATTTCAAATGAAGAACAATAAGTAACTTTCAGAGTACATACGAAGCTCCCGAAAGAGTGCAAGCACCACTTGTGATTATAGAGGCCACATTTCCGCGGGCTACCGCGGGCGCCCACTACAAATTCATTTCGCGCCGTAAATATAGCTGTAAAAATATTGAACGCGCGAAAACATTAAATTTCCCCTGCAGCGGAGCCGGCTGCGTCTATAACAGCGTAAAAATAAAACATAAAAACCTGTAAGCGCGAAAAACGGCACTTAAATTGGCTGCGACGCGTCATATCAGATGCTTTGTCACGGAAGCCGGCGCGGCAGCTCGAGTTCAAAGGAGACGCCCCTCGGAAGTAAATTTAAAGATGCACACAAAGAAAAGCACAGCAACTCAGATGCCTCGTCACGGAAGCCGGCGGCTGCGCTCAATGTCAAAGCGGACGCGCTTCAGAAATAAAACGCAAAGAAAAGCACAGCAACGCAATGCTTCGTCACGGAAGCTGCAATAAAGTCACCGCCGCAGTGCCGTGTGCGATAGAAGACGTGGCGCGCTGTGTGTAGGCGAAATCCACTATCGTGGTCAAGTCTCGGAATACACGGCGGGGCGTTCTGCGCGGCGAACCGACGCACTCCCCGCAGGCGCTGCGGCCGCTTTAGCTCCTCTCAGCGCCGAGAATGCTTTCGCATTCACAACTCATAAGAAGTGCGTAGGCGTCCTCGAAATATTTTTTTCTTGTAAATTTGTTTTATGGCATTCTTTTTCCTTTAGCATGTAAAAAGATTTTTTTTCTTGTTTTGCATATGTCATTTAACGAGGTGCTTAAGTTTAGGAAACAAAAGAGCCACCCGCTAGTTGTGGAAATTGTATATAACCTCATATATAAAACTACGATTCGTTAAGGGCACATTGGAGTAACTGAGGCTTTTTTGTTGTTGTTGTTGGTGGTGGTGGTTTTGTTTTTTGCCTATACCCACGTATATGTATAAATAGGTATTTTGAACATTCTGGAAATGTTTTTATAATAGTGCATTGAGTTCCAACATTGTGTCTAGAAGAACGTATGTTTATGTCTGGTATTTACTGTTGCTGCACAATTATTCCAGGTTTTGATTTTATGTTCCATCAAACGAATGTGTCAAATTACTCTTTTGCAGAAAACAGCTTCTTTTGCAAGTTAATGAGCGAAACGATGAAAACAAAATCAGAAGAGTTCAAATTTTACAACTCCAATGATGGTCGAAGGTATTTTTTCCTTAGTGACGTTTTAGCCATCCAAAATTGGACAAGGTCAAGTGATCTGCAGTATGCTAGAAACATTTCAACTGAGGTTTGGGTTGCAACAAGCAAGCACAAGGAACATCACTTTAGCATCGCCGTTGCCCTTACTGGTAAGCGCTTTAATTTCAGATTTACCTCTAAAACGTGGGATGTTGTGTGTAACATATTTTCTTAGAGAGAACATAAGCTTGCCCAATACAAGCTGAATCACAAACTAGTGTTAAATTATTTAAAAAAGAAGTGTAATGTTATAATCGACCTTTTCGACGTTTGAAATATGTCCTTGAATAAAGACATTTAAATTTGTTTGACAATTTTATAATGGAATTGACACTTGTATCAAATGAAATAATGGTGATTGATATACAGGGAGTTTCCGAGATATAAAAACCGTGTTTTTCGACCCTGGTGAATAAACTATGCATCGCAGAGACTTCAAACTCCGTGACAATGTGACGCTAGTGGTTGGGATAGAACGCGAGTGATTGAGAGAATGACATTACCTGGGCAAAAAGGGTAATTGAGGAAAAATAAATTTTCTGTATGAGCCGACGTCCACCCATCGTCAAGACAACTCGACATTGTGAATGCTTGTGGATTTTACATCAGTGAAAAATACTTGTCAGTAAAGAATATGATATTGTTATATTTCTTGCTGACACGACTTTTAGTTTTGTTTTTATTGAAACAGATGCTACAGACGCACATAATGTAATTTCTTGTTTTGACAATATTAGGCTTAGGTGATCGCCAGTTCACAAAGAAATTTTGCTTTTTTCAATTATCTTTTGATCCAGGTAACGACGTGTTGTCAAACGTTCGCGTTCTATACCAACCTCTAGGTTCAAGTTCTTGCGGAGGTTTAGCTTTCTTCGATGCATAGTATTTTTTTTTTACCTGTGCCGGAAAACAGGGTTTACTTTTCTTGGGAATCTCCTGTACATCAACTTGCTTCACTCGGTACAACGTAATTGCTTGGCTTTCAGGGGGTAACTGGTCATCAACTGCGTTAAACGCGAGAGCTCCAGTAACGGTTGACTTTGGCGTCGGGAGCGATGGTGAAGAGACAAGAATCAACATTTTCAGTTTCCAAGACTTCGAAGGAACTTTACGTAATGACATTCCGCAGGTCAGTGTACGACTGATAAATAACATTCCACTTGCAGTTCAATATTTTTTTTCTGTTTTTGTTGTTAGTTGGTTCAGATTACAAACCGTAGTGCCAGTAGAATCGTGTGGCATTGGCAAGTGTCGGGACTTTCTCCTACAAAACTTTCTGGGAACAAACACCTCGCGAAACCGTTAGCGCAAACATGCAATCGACCGTCACAGACACTTATGAGAGGCGTTCAATTTCAACACTGCGGTTAGTACCCTAATGGAACTTTTCGCCCAACTAGCAGTTTGCGTTACAGCTGCTCATCATTTAATAATAAAACGGAAAAACTTGGCGACCGGTTGATCGCTCCAAAGTTGCTCCTCTGTGCACGTGAAGGTGTATTCTGCTGTAGTCACTGACAGGATAAGAACGGCAGTGCATCTCTTTCGAACTGCGAGCTTTCAAGACGGTTTCGTTGCCTGTCAATGCGCTTTGTCGGCACGTGCACGCTCGAAGCTCACGAGATGCAGAAGTGTCATCGAAGCTACGAAGCACGCGCTGGAGGTGGGACAGCTGAAGGGCGTCCGTGCCGTTCTAACCCTGCCAGTGACCATAACTTTAATCACATTCTATATAAAACAACTAAATTAAAAGTGTATTAATCCCCCTCAAAAATTATACGTTTGTCAATAAAACTCTGATGTATGACATTGTCAACTTGCCGCCTGAGAGCGATACATATAGATGAGGCAACTGATATTCATCAATCGGCATTGTCTTCAGCTTTGGGCAATTCGCAATAGTATAACGTTTATTATAGACATCGCCGATGAGTGGGAGAGCCACATACGAATAGCTGTTATGAGGATTGATTGCTTTCTTAATATTCCTGCTGAATCAAGGCATGTTAAACTTTCAGATTTCCTCGCAGTTATATTTTTAGACAGGGAGTTTTAATGCCACGTGCATATTTTATCGGAATAACGATGAGTATCAAGATGTTTCATTGATTTCATTGTAGATTTGCGCTACATCTCGATATAAATATATTACATATATGATGGATGAATGCGCATGTAACGCTGAAATATTGAAAACATTCATCATGGTTGTTTTTCGTCAGTTGCCATTTTAGTTCGAACATACTGTGAATTCTATAGTAAAAACATTGCGTCCGCGTCAAAGAATGTGGTGCAGTCGAGTTTTGTTAATACAAAAACCACCGTTGCCACCCCCCCCCCCCCCCCCAAAAAAAAAAAAAAGTTATATTGTGGGCCATTTCTAACACCAAGACAATAATGGGTGTGTGTATGTACCTAGTTCGTCCCCGGAAATGTTGTCAAGCGGAATGTTCATCTTAACGAGGTCAATATTAACAAGGCATGACTCTACTTGTTTTGTTCAGCTTCCAGATGGCGTCTATTGCGATGGCTATAAAAAGAGCGTTCCTCCTCCAAAGCTTGAGCAGATAACTACCTTCAATTACCGCGCAGAAATGTGGAGCTCAACGGATCAGTTGGTACGCACCAGTGACGTGAGTGCACTCCCAGATATTGTACCATCATTGAGTCAGTCTTTTCCAATCGCATCTATCATTGAGGCTAATTGAGGTAAATCAAGGATATACGTGTGCACACAGGCGTGCCCATTCATACACGAACGTTATTGTCGTAGTATTGGCAAGCGATAAGCAACTAAACTGCGTAAAGAAATAAAAGTGTTCTGTCTTGATTTGAATGCTTGTTAGGTTTATTAGTGAATAAATCTCATCAAGATTTGATGCGGGGTAGCCAGCATGAGCCAGTTCCTTCCCCCCTCCCCATTAATATAATAATTTACTTTTGTTTCGCCTTTTGGGACTATTCTTAATGTTACGGAAATATCACTCACTGGCCTTAAAGAACATAATTAAGTGGCTTATTAATCCAGAAAATTATGTTTGCACCATGTAATTCACAAGGATGAGTTAAAGAACGGAAAGACGAGAAGTCTGCGCAAGCATTTCAGTGTGTGTGTTTTGAAAACATTTGCAATCCCGAACAATTACTCAATAGAAATAAGGACCATGGCTGCAATGTGAGCTTGGCGTTTATAAACTCCGCTATAATTAAGATCACATAAAGTCGCGGACCTCATAAAAAGAATATCCCAGGTGCACGCGTGGCACCGAAGGCCACCGATGGTATCAAACGGAACAGAGCAGAGTTATCATCAAGGCTATTGTATGAACAAGCGGCATTTCAGTGGCTGTTAAATGTTTCTCGTTAGTCCCCACTTGGTCGGTCAACGATTGCTGATTCAACACCGGCAATAGTAGTGCTCGGTGAAATAAAATAGAAACAGCTTATCGTCTTTTAGGCTTCAAACGTATCAAACGCCCGAAAACTGGTCGCTCAACGTTACGACCCGGTGATTTCGGCAATCCTTGATTTTGACTTTTGTCCCCGAACGCTTCTACATTCGCCACTGAAATAACCATTTAAATCAACGACTTCCGGTCAAGCGAGGAGTGACGCCTCGATAATGATTGAGATTTCCTATAGATAGCGCTGCAGGTCTTCTAGCATGTTACGCACACGCGTGGGCTTTTCTATATCGTCCGCGATTTTACAGCATCAGAAAGAAAATGGTTTGCATTATTATACTTCATATGAATCGTTGAAGCGAGATGCTTCTCAGTAAGTATGGCTTGTTTTTTCAACATAATCTGTCACGCTTAGTGCACTAAATAAAATCTTACCCGCTATCATTGTCTAATACTTTTTAACATGTCCAGGTATGGATCGATATGAATCGGGCTCTTTATAGAATGGATTTCGAGCCTGTTACGGTCGGCATTGGCGATCAGCGAAGCATCATTGTGTCTGGAAATGAGAGTAAGTAAACAGTCATTGCAAGTTTTGGCTAATGGTGGTTTTAGAAACCACGTTATTCCTAAATATTTAGTTGAGTAGATTATTCGATTCTAAGTAAATATGCACTCGCACAATAAAATTATTAAAAAAGAACATTGCCAAGCCTCACGCCAGAACAAAGCCTAATTTGGACCAACTTTGGCAATCGTAGGAGCCTAACTAGTCCCACATTTGGCAACATTTGGCATAGAACTGTTTTGCTCCAAGGTGTTAGTTCACGCCAAAGTACTTTTGTTTGGCATTTCTATTGCCTTTCTTTGGTTCGACGCATAATTGCCAAAGTGCCAGACTTGAGCAAAATATTCCTCATATTTACCGAACAACCGGGCAGGGAAGTAAAATCTGGCACTTGTTTGGCAATTTTGGCCCAATGTTACCACATGAAAACTGAAACACCGGGCCGCGGACCGATTGATCACGTGATGAGCGGCCCGCGGGCCACCCGGCTGCAATGAGCATCCACACGGCGGACCAAAAGAGCAGACGACAGAGTGGACGGGCCGGTCTAACCCTCGACCTCACAGCTCCGCCGAACACATGCAACGAGCTGCTCTGAGGCTATTTGTAAGGAGCCTAGATGGAGGTTGAACGAAAGAGACTTTTGGCCGCGGTGGCCCTGGCGTTAACTATTGAGGACGAGGAGGACTTAAGTGAACCGAAAAGGGCATGTATCTATTAGCGGCGAGATGTTTTGGTGGCGCCCTCCTATGGTTCCCCCTTGTGACGTCATTACCTTGCAAACAACAAGTTCGATGGTGTTTGTAAATAGCATGGTGAAAGCTTGGAATCATTGCGCTCTCAAAGAACACTGCCAACACCGTCAAAATTAAAGTTCTTTCATTCCTCTTATTTCCGCCGATGATAAATCCCCTTTCCGACGTCATAGTCAGCGTTCGGCCAATCGCGGAAGGCCGACCACAGCGACGCTTTCGGTCGCTCACGGGGCTAATTGTCCCATAGAGCGGGGAATTGCTCCACGAGCGCGATGAAGTAAAACGTTGCATCGTCGCACCATGCCGCCATCGTCGCACAACAAAATGTTCGTCTTCTTCGTCTTCAACAGTTGGCGCCAAGGGAACACGACTCTGGATTTGGATTCCAATTCAAATAACAAAAGTCAGCTTGTTGCCAGACTCAGCACTTCAATTATACTAAAAACGCCGCGGTCCGCCGCCAAGGTCCGGGCGAGAAAAGTCGCTTGCCATTTCACACCAGCGCGGGCCTCGGACCGCCGGCGGACCTCGAAAAAGGGTGACGTAAGATCACGTGATGCGCGGCCCGCGGACCAAAACAGCAATTTGGTCCGTCGTGTGGATACACCTTTAATGGGCGATTTAGGCAAAGATGCCAGATAATAGCCAAACTCTCAGGCTATGAAGCCTAACTTTTACACGTAAGTGGCGATTTTGGGACAAGAGACTAAGGCCAAAGAAGGTCAAGTTCGGCTTTATCTTGGCTTCTTTTGGCTTTTCAAGGCCCCATATTTCTAAACAAAACACACATGTTTACCCAAAGAATTGTACAATTAGCAGTTACGCGATGCTTTCTTAAAATGATTATTACATAATTTTAGTTGTTAACGAATCTCAAAGGGCAACGCATTATTTATCTGGTCGTTCCTCAATTAAAAGCAGTTTGTGACTGACTTGCGCGCCTCTATGTCATTCGACAAGCAACGCAAATACATATTGAGTATTTAAAAAAAAATTTAATCCAGTACTCTACCGACTCATCCATTCGGGGATACTGAACAGGGATCAACAATCACGCGGTCAATCAGCCTTAACACTAGGCTTCATGGTGTACGTGTTTCTGGAAAAAATAATGAAAATACAGTAACTCATTAGTCAACATGAGTTTATCATTCTTATACAAAATAGTTACAAAATATTAAATTATATACAGTGACTTTGAATGTCTAAAATAATATAGGCAACTAACCTCTTTGGGTAAAAGCATTGCGTTTGTTTTTCAACTTGTTTCATGGCGGGGAAATTCAAAATAAGTTTTAAGTGATCCGCAAGAAGCGAAATTATGCAGGCGGGCTGGCTAGGAAACATCATAATCTAAGCCCTGAGACAGAGAGAAAAAAAATTTCGACCAAGACGACATAAATCTCAAACGCAGCTGTGTTTATTCGCGAAAGAAGAGCAATACATAGCTGTCGGAAAGAAAAGGAAAAAAACCACATACCGTCGCAAAGTTTTAATGGAACCCAACCAGACAGACTGACCTACAAACTAGACACCGCACTCATAGAAGGTACCCACAAACAACTGATTAGCTCTCAATTAACACAGAAGGCAACATAAGGTAGAGAAGGACTACCGATGAAGCTGCGGAAGCATGTACTTTATAAAGTAGGACATGCCACGTTAGCTTGTTGGAAATTTTGTTATGTTCTTGGTTTTACACTTAAAATAAGTAATCATTCTTAAGGACAATGTAATCCTTTGCATGGTTAGTTAACATTTGGAGGCTGGATTTCTTTACTAAAAATAAGAACTGTTTTTATCTTTATTTACAGAAACGATTTACACAATAACCAGAGAACCGACCAATCAATGCAACATGACCGCCATCACCGAGCTAGAAATTGACCCGCAGATGGTCACGGATCCACGTTACGTCCTACACATGACGCCCAGCACCTTCTTCAGCGGCAACAAAGAGAAGCTGTCTCTCAGCTACAAGAAGCAGGTCAGTCTGGAAATGTAAAGTTATAATATATGTTCGCATTTTACGCGATACGGTACGTTGGAACAAAATGCTCCTCCCGCAATATATGCGTTTTTTTTAAATTTTATGACTGGCTTTCTTATCGTCAATGTATGATTCCGATTATTACAGGACAGAAAGAGTTTTACTTAATTAACGTCCAGTCCATCCTTTTTTTAATATAAATCCTGGTTAGATAGGACATGGGTATTTAGAATATACTTAAATAGAATAAGGTTTTTAGTATTTGTGAGATAAAGTATGGTTCGATAAAATAGAGTTGTAAAATATACTCCCCGTAAAATATACTTCCTTCTTCATTACAACCTAAGGCCCGATGACTATCGTATACTACGCTTCTACGCCTTCAACGTTTCGCAATGTTTCTAATTTTAACTTTTTCCATTATAATATTGATTAAGAGGTTTTTTGCGTGTCCCTCTTAAGCTTATTTACAACAGCGTATGGGTGGACCCTGCGATTTCTCTGGAGCAGTCCCATTCATTGAACCCAGTTTCAGACTCGGGGCACACGCGTCCCATCACCCAAAGAATCCGGGCAAGTCGGGGTGTTGAAGGCAGACTCGCACTTGAATGAAAGCCGCCCCGGCTGTGTGGCTAGAGAAATTGAAAGGGTTCAATCGGGCCGCCTTAAAGCCGGGCGCGAGTGAAGCCGGGCGTTGCTTGATGAATATTACGCGTTCATTCAATGCCTTCACAGATCGAATTAGACCGTAAAGCTGGTATGTCAGTTCAATTTCAACATACTTAAACTTCACCGAAATGCCGCGGACGACTTTTTATCAAAATTTATTCGACCCGACCATGTTTGTCCTACTAAAACTCATTTCTTAGAGATATTTGCAGATATCAACTCATATATTTTTCTCGCTTTTTCGGCGGGAATGTACACCAGGTTAGAATGTGCGGCAAACTGCCACCAGTACTATTAAAACCTAAAACCTTATCCGGCTGTTCCAACATTTTTGCTGTCGCAAGGAAGCACAAAAGCAACCTTCTGAATTCTGAATAATCTTTTGCCCAAGTTTGTCTCCTAACCTTAAGAGCGCAGCTCTTAGGCGGCTGTTTCCGGCTTGAGCGACGTCGCCATCGGCGTCGGCGTAACCGCCCGTTGCATTATCGGTCGTTTCCCCTAATGACGTAACATGAGACGTCACGTGTGACGTCACGAGGTTTATGAGCGACGTCACGAGAGAGGAGAAAGAGGAGGGAATGTTTCCGCTAAATTTAGCGGAAAACATTCCCCGCAAGATTTAGCGAAAAAATTTCCTCGCTAATATTAGTGGGAAAAGTTCCCCGCTAATTATAGCGGAAAAGGTTCCCCGCTAGATTTAGCGTATAAAGTTCCCTGATAAATTTAGCGAAAAAAATTTCACGCTACATTTAGCGGGGAATTTTTTCCATTGAATTTAGCGGAAGATGTAGCAAACATTTCCCGCTAAATGAAAGGGAAGCAGGAGAGGAGGAGGGGCATGCTCTCCCCTCCGCACCCTCCCTTCCTCCTCCTCAAGAACTGCGCTCTAATTCGGCATTACAGGGAGTTGTTAACGTTTCATTTTTTTTTTACATGTTTTCTTGTCTCCTAGAACATTTACATAATTTCAAGCATGAATGCCAGACTATTTGCTTGCGAGGCACAAATATATATACATATATAATAGAGTCCTCAAAATCCGCTTACAAACAGCCACAATTTGTTCATATTTTCCCCAAAATATGTTATTTAGTTAAAAAAAATGAAACGCATTTTTCTTTTTAGCATTGCAACCTGGCTTGTTCTTTTACAACAAAAATATACTATTTCGTTTTGTATTCGTCACAGTTCTAACTGAGATTACATCTTTTTCCACGCAACTTTTAGAAAACTAAATCAGTCAAAAGAACAATCTAATATAAGAGTGTGTAGCTTCACGCACGGTGGCCGACTTGCGATTGTTCCGGCCGTTCTAGTGTTACAAGCTTAGTCAAGAGCAAACAAAATGTACTAGAGGTTCCCTAAAAACCAGGCGAAATTTGTCGGCGTTCACTCTTGGGATTATTTTATAACAAGTGTGTAAGAAATAGACAAAGTTTTATTAAATAAAATAAGTTTTTTTTTATTCTATACCACACGGTGTATCCTCAAAAGTCCTACCCTGTAAAAAGCGTAAATATAAAAGCAAAAAAAAAAATGCCCTATAAATTCTCCCAGCTACGTAATTCATAGTTCTACTTTCGGGTAAATCTCCTTTTATGATGATTATAGGAATGGCGCCTCAGCAGCACCATAACGCTAAACATAAAAATGAGAGCAATTGTTTCTTAAAATAATCAATCATCAGGGGCGCAGGGCACACAGCAGGAGAATAATGCACTCGCAAATTACAAAAAAAAAAAAAAACAATAATGGGGCAGCAGTCACACTGAAACAGAGAAACATTACGAGGTCTAACCTCGCTATGCTTAACTTGTTTCCTTGAGCGTGTTGGTACATTATTCTGCGGTCTGCCAAGCACATTTTTGGGAAAAAGATATTTTGTTTGGAAACACTATAGCGTTCCAGTCTATTGACGTTATTCAATCACGCTTATTTATGTTTAAGCACATCGTACCTGGCAGCCTTTTCTTTGTTGCAAACGAAAGAGATTTTGCTCGAAACACCCAAGTTATAAGTACGGTTTGCAACCTCAGTCTTTTTTTTTTTTTCAGACAGAGAAAAGAGGCATCCCTTGTCATGTGTGGCAAGTTCTCCGTGACGACTGGCCGCCAGAGTCGAGCAGTGTAAAAACTTTGTGGGAATGGTGCGTCGCTATGCCTGTACGTATTCAAGAGGCTCATTGATTGAAATTGAATATTTTATTCGGTGTGTGTGTGTGTGGGTGTGTGTGTGTGTGTGTGTTTGTGCGTGTGTGTGTGTGTATCTGTGTGTGTGGGGGGTGTGTTTTAATCTTGTGCCCAAAAGAAAGGTCGGCCGTCATTAAACCCGGTAATTGAAAGTTAATCCCGCGTGCCCCTGAATTAATTTACGCAATTCCTTGCAGACAAGCTAAAATAATTAAAGATCTTTACGTAAAAAAAAAACAGACTGCGTTAATTCACACGTTTAAAAAACCTAAAATACAGTAGTTAAAGAGGGAACCATATTTTTAAAGCATTAAAACTAATTTTACGTTTTCTATGTTCCTTTCTTGCTTACAGGACGCTCAAGACATTCAAGGTACGAAAGGCGATGTCTACCTCGTCAATCTTGATCTGTCTATACTGGAGGTAAAAAAAAAAGAAACTTATTTTTATTCGGTCCTGTTGATATCTGTCTTTTGCTTACAGTATTTACTCGAGTCTCGGTCTACCTTTTTTTAACAAAGCAGCTTTTGTAGAGGAATACAAACGTGCTAAAAAAGACATTATGTTCAATACAAGTAAACGGACTTTTCATTTCTTTGTTTGCTCATTAGTAAATTAGAGAAGCGTAAAAAAGTCACTGGAAGTGGCAAGTCCTCATATCAATGTTGTAATACTGGTATAAGAGATTTTGTTGGGCCCACAGATGACGTATAATTATTTTTAATTTTTCGAAATTCATTTACTGCGCCTATTTGAGCTTTTGCAGCATTTCTGTGTTTGGTGCATTTCTGCCTGACTTTACATATTGATATTGTTACTCAAAATAAAATTTATTTACACCCCACAGAAGGCTATAGAGATGTTTGTGTACACTATGAAGACTGTACATTACTCTTAATAATATTGTTGTTTTATATGGGACATATAGTGAGGAAATCTATATTTCCACGAATTTCGGTACAGGAAATCCCAGATTTTATTGATAGAGTTACTTGACGATATCACTGGGATCTGGAGAAATGAAAATGTAGACAATTTACGTCTTGATTTCTCACAAGTGATTAGTAAACAGCTATTGATAGTAACAGACATGGGTTTCAGCACTGTGTGAATTAAGTAGACGGGACCCGCTTGTACTAATAAAAATTTCCTGCTTCAGGTGCCGAAAGAAGTTAAATTTCTCAACCTTTCTGTGGGAACCAAACTGAGTTTTCGGTTCCACGACGCCCTGCTGAATCCGCCCGAGCTAATTGACCTGCATGGCTTCGACATCTCTCCCTGTTACGAAGACGATGAAATGGCTGACATGAAGATTATTGTTAAGTGTAAGCATGGTTTTTTCATGGTGATTGACCTTGAAAACGCTTGAAATTGCGACGATAGCACCTCAAGCAAGGAAAGAAAGCGGAAACAAAATCGTTATAGTCACTTGCGACTCGAGAAACGCGGGGCTTAACTTAATTATATTGTAACATCTTGCTTCGTGATTTTTTCTTTGTCGTTCTTAAAGACCGACCAACGGAACCATTTTCCGCAAGGTAGGAAAATGCCCCTCACGCCCTCCTCTTTTCACCCTCTCCCAAAAATCACGTGACGGCATGGGCTCGTTTTGTGTCGGCTTTTTCTGTAGGGATAATCCTCAAAAACCGCGAAATGAGCGGCTAGCTGCGAGCGCCACAACGACCTTGAGACGTCCAGGTGTCTTCCCTCGTTGACGCGGGCACGCTCCATCCGCGAGATTGAGGAAGCTAGCGCGACCGAACGCTTTTTCCCATGAGCTGCAGGTCTGAGGCCGCTTGGTCGGTGAAGATCGAGGGGTTTTGGTATGCTGGGTTCGTTCCAGCAGCTGCTCTCTGGCATCCCGCTGCTGCTGGAGCCATTGCCGTCTCTGCACAAGGATTGGCTTGCGCAATAAAGAGTTCAGGTCGTCGATAATACATTTATTTCCGAAACTTATAAATTAAGTGGCTTTCCCTAATCTCTTCAATACTGTTTGAAACACATCTCTCATAGCTTGTTCATCCCATTTTGGACTCTTTTACGTATTTATTCTTCCTTACCTCTGCTTGATGACTGTTTTATAACTTGATAAAGACCTTTAAGTATTGGCGCGGGCTTCCGCGATCAACGCTGTCCCAGATTTATTCAAAATTGGAAATATTGGCGTCAGGAGGGGTTGAAGAAGCAAACCGAAAATCTTGATTCTAATGAAGATGGCACAATCGTAAGATAGGTCTTTGCTTCACCTGCATCCACAGCGCCCAGTCGTTTGCACTATCACCTTCCCGCAACATCCCCACCTTTCTCTCCCCCCCCCCCCCCTCCCTTTCCCGAGTTGGGGAAATATCAGGCCAGTCCAGGAAGCAGCCTGCAGACTACGCTTTTCGGCTACTCATTCTCAACATATTCGAGCGTGGAAGTAAACACATTGCATGAACGACGCCCAGTTGATTTGCAACCTAAATAATGTGGTTCTACTGTTGGGGCCCAATCAATTTCATCATCAACCATTTTTTGTTATGACTTCATGGTGAAAGTGTGTTCGTCGTGATGCCACAAAAGTGGTCGATTCAAAGGGAGATATAGGTACTCGTATTTATTTTGCGGAAACACGCGCTCCTGTGACGCTCTTGTGCGCAAGGTCAACGCTTCCGAGGCAGTGCGTAATAATTTAAAACTGTCGTTGACGATGAAATATATGTGGGAAGTGCATAAAATTGTTTACACCACAAAAGCATACCGAAAGACAACAAAATATCGCAATGCCTAAAAAAAAAAAAAATCACCTTGCGAAAACCGTTGCTTTTCTCTCTCTCTCTCTATCTCTTTCGCGCCACTACGAAAGATAGCGGCCGAGCGACGAAATTCTATCAAAACCTCGCTTTTTGGAGAAAGGACAGTAGGCTATATGGTAGTGAATCTGCCAGGGAGTTTGTAGAAACAATAGGCGACCATTGAACCTAGCCTTCTGCACAAATCATGCCCGGGATATTTCCATTTTCCTTCTACGCGATTTGAAGGCAAGACGCTGGGAGAATTCATGTGCACTAACATGCTGCTTCTAAAAGAAATTACCAGATTTATAGAGCATGTCAATTTAGATGTAAATAGTTTAATCACTGTGCACAAACATTCGCTGCCTGGAGGATGACATGGAAGCATGGCGGAAACAACTTGCTGAAAATAGAAGTCTCTGTTGCATTGCACTGTTGTGAAGAATTATTACGTATTTTTGTCTTATTTCCGTGGGAAAATAAAAACAGCGTTTAGAAACCGAACCCTGTGCGATTTGAGGAGCGCCGAAAGGACATAAAAAACAGGGACAACCAGAGCTTGTTCTGGTTCCTTGCTTGTTCGGAGCCTTTCAAAAGGGGATAAAAAATTATGGACTGACCCGACTTACCACATTAGAGCAGTTCATTTCCATTGCGACAGGCTGTCTTCAAGTGCCTTGCATAGTCCAGCTTGTACTGGTCCGCTTTTATTTTCGGTTCCTTTCAAAGCGTGGGCTCTAAGCCACTGGACTAAACTACCACATTCATAATCTGCGGAAGCGGAGAAGTGGAAATGCAACAAATGGAAAGATTCGCCCACGTTATTTGGGACCTGTAGAAAAGCGGACCGGATAGAAGAAGGCCGAAATCTCTTTCAAGAAACACACAATCTTCTCTTCAATTCTGTCTAACAATTTGATGTGAATGTGTACTCGGCTATGGCATTATTCGTTTAGGAATCAAGCGAAACTCTGTATCGGATCATTATACGTCTACGTTCACTCCCATTCGATGCTTATCATGTTTTCGAGTATGTACACGGTTTGGTTTTCAGCGGTAGTTTTTTAATCTGATTGCCCGCGAGAGTGCGAGCCAGAATTAACGCCCTACGGCCGCGGGCCGTCGCACTATTCTCCTTCTTCTCCCTATCAATATACAATCAAAGACGCGGGCGGTGCCGTCAATCGTGCTGGTGTCGGGAACCAGTAAGTCTGACCCTTGAAATGCAGGCGTGACGCAAAACCCAGAGGCGTCTCGTTCGCCCACTTACATTCTTCCCATGCGGCGGAGATGGTCGTTTAGAGGGGATTATCTTCTGAACGGATCCAAGTTACTCGAGCAAGCTCACATTCTGCTTGCAAAGCCCAGCCGCTAAGCAAAGGTAACGGACGGTGGTTCGAGAGGCGTGCAACCCTTGCCCGCTTGGCCCTCCCAACTACTTCTCCGCTTCCATAAATTTTGAATGGTGTAGGTTGGTCCAGTAGCTTAGAGCTCACTTTTTGAAAAGAACTGAAAATAAAAACGGAACAGTACAATCTGAACTACGCAGGACGCTCTAAGAGAGCCTGTCGTAATGAAAATGAACCGCTCTAATGTGGCAAGTCGGGTCAATCGGTTCATAATTTTTCATCCCCTTTTGAAGGGTTCCGGAAAAACAAGAAACCAGGAAAAGCTGAGTGACGCAAGGCGCCTCGTATTGTTCAGGTTGTTCCGGTTTTTTATATCCTTTCGGCGCACCTCGAAACGCACAGTGTTCGGTTTGTAAACGCTGTTTTTATTTTCGCACAGAAATAAAACAAAAATACGTAATAATTTTTCACACCAGTGCAATGCAGTAGAGACTTATATATCCAGCAAGCTGCTTTCCGCCATGCTTCCATGTCATCCTCCAGGCCGCGAATGTTTGTGCACACTGATTAAACTATTTACATGTAGATTGACATACATGCACTAGAAATCTGGTACTTTCATTTAGAAGCAGCATGTTAGTGCACATAAATTTCCCCAGCGTCTTGCCTTCTAATCGCGTGGAAGGAAAATGGAAATATCCCGGGAAGCGAGGCTTTGATAGAATTTCGTCGCTCGGCCGCTATTTTTTGTAGTGGCGCGAAAAAAGAAAAAAAAAAAGAGAGAGAGAGAGGGGGGGGGGGGAAGCAACGGTTTTCGCAAGCTGATTTTTAACAATTTTGTGGGAAGTGCGTAAACAATTTTACGCACTTCCCACAAATGTTGTCGTCAACGACAGTTGAAAAGTATTACGCGCTGCCTCGGGTGCTTTTACCTTACGCACTAGAGCGTCACAGGAGCGAGTATTTCAGCAATATAAATACGAGGACCTATAGACCTTTTGCAAAATCCCCCAAGCGCCCCGGCCTGCGCGCAAGGAATTGTGGGAGAGACTGTCCCTCGCCTGGCCAGTCTGCCTTGAGTTCGCATTGCCTTGTCGCTTGCCTCCTCTTAGTCCTGTGTTTTTCGATTTCATTACTTATTTTTATCTATTCCAGTGTAGCTTCTAGGTGTTGCCATTCTCTTCTGCGCGCGATATTTCTTTTATATATATAGTGTTTGTGTCCTTATTTTGCCTTTTTCGACGGGAGTGCCGACGGACAACACTCCGCTTCGCGCGTCGTTCCCCGGGTGAGTACCGTTGCTACCGATTCATATCGCGCTGTTAGCTGTTCATTTTGGTTCATTTGACCCGCGTGCAGTCGAGTGGAGCCGTTTATGAACACCCGCGCACGTCTCATAGGGGTAGGCAGAGCTCTGAATCAACAATCGCGACGCGAGAGCCGCGAGTGCGCTGTGATTTGGCCGCCCGCGCTCGCTCCGTTGACTCACACTGTAGCGTGTGCCTTCGAGTGCCGCTGACTTGACCAAGATACAGCACGCCGCTTTGTCGCCGCGAACCATTTGTCCGAATGTTTGCGAGGCTGAGGCATATGCAACGCTGCGGCGCCTGACAACTGCGCGCTGCGGCGCGATCCCTTCGCAAACGCCGGCGGCTCAATGTCGCAGCTTGAATGCGCCCATGGCATGCCTTCGTAATCTATCTGCTAAGCGGTTGTCAGTTGCCAACGCCCTTTTTCAAGTGCAGAGATGTATTGCCGCAAATCATTAATCCGAATGCCTGCGAAGCCGTAACACCCAGAGTCACTAAATGAGCTACGCTTAGAGTATCGGCACTCCGTTCCCCGACATTGTTGTGGGCGCCGCCATGTTGGCTCGTATGCAGAGCAGACGCAACTGCCGATCGTCATGATTCAAAAGTGCGACTTCCTCGGCATTCGGTTCGGTGTTAGAAAGGTTATGTAACACTGCTTTGCTCTGCCGCGAACTGTTTGAACATTTGTGGATGGCGGAAAAGCGCTTCCTGTGATTTCAGATAAAGCTTCAGATAACTGGCAACCATGATTTTAAGACACAATATGGCCAAGTGACGTTACTCTGAAGCGTAGCTTATTTAGTGGCACTAGTAACACCGTTTGTCATATCCAACGTGCGGTGTGCGTGACAAACTGCGCGCAGCGGCGCGAGCCCTTCGCAAGCGCCGGTGGCCCAATGCCGCGGCTTGTATGCGCTTATGGTATGCTTTCTTAATCTATCTGCTAAGCGGTTGTCAGTTGCAAACACCCGTTTTCAAGTGCAGAGATGTGCTGTCGCCCAGGCAGTTATCTTGAAACTTGTAGTTCCTTCGATAATTATATTACTCGAGTCAAGATGTCAACTTATGATCGAGTCAAGATGTCGGGAACTGACAACCACCGAGCAGACTGATCATGAATGCATGCCAAAGGCGCATACAAGCCGCGACGTTGAATTGCCGGCGCTTGCTAAGGGCTCGAGCCGCTGCGTGCAGTTGTCAGGCGCCGCAGCGTTGGATATGCCGAATGGTGTTACGGTTTCGCAGGCATTCGCACAAATGATTCGCGACGACGACAAAGTGGCGTGCTGTATCTTGGTCAAGTAAGCGGCACTCGAAGGCGACGGAGTGAGCGTGGGCGGCCAAATCACAGCGCACTCGGCTCTTGCCTCGCGATTGTTGATTCAGAGCTCTGCCTACCCCTATGACACCTGCGCGGGTGTTCATAAACGGCTCCTATCGACTGCATGCGGGTCAAATAAACCAAAATGAACACCTAAAAGCACGATAGGAATCCGTAGCAATGGTAGTACTCACCCCGAAAACGACGCGCGAAGCGGCGTGTTGTCTGTTGGAACTCCCGTCGAAAAAGGCAAAATAAAGACACAAATACTATATATAGAAAAAATATCGCGCGCAGAATAGAATAGAGAAACTTAGAAGCAATAAAAATACACTGGAATAGATAAAAATAAGTAATGGAATCGAGAAACAGAGGATTAAGAGGAGGCAAGCGAAAAGGCAATGCGATCTCAAGGTAGAGCGGCCAGGCGGGGGACAGTCTCTCCCACAATTCCTCGCGCGCGGGCCGGGGCGCTTGGGAAAATTGCAAATCATCTATTTCTCCCTTTGAATCGATCACTTTTGTGGCATCACGACGAACACACTTTCACCATGAAATCGTAAAAAATAATGATTGATGATAAAATTGCTTGGGTCCCAACAGTATAGAGCCACATTATTTCGGTTGCAAAATTAACTGGGCGTCGTTCATGCGATGTGTTTACTTCCTCGTTCGAATGTGTTGAGAATGAGTAGCCGAAAAGCGCAGTCTGCAGGCTGCTTCCTGGAGTGGCCTGATATCCCTCCACCTCGGGAAAGGGAGGGGGGAGAAAAGGGTGGATGTTGTGGGAAGGTGATAATATCTATTCTCACTGAGGAGAGTTGCCGGTCGTTAAAAAGCCGACTCGCTCATAACGGGAAAGCCTATGGGGCCACATCTATAGTAACCATGAGTAAAATGTGGTATACAGCTATGTTACTGAGAAGTTGCGATAGTGCAAATGATGGGGCGTTGTGGAGGCAAGTGAAGCAAAGACCTATCTTACGATTGTGCCGTCTTCATTAGAAGCAAGATTTTCGGATTGCTTCTTCAACTCCTCCTGACGCCAATATTTCCAATTTCGGGTAAATCCGGGAGAGCGTTGATCGCACAAGCCCGCGCCAATATTTAAAGGCCTTTATCAAGTGAGAAAACAGATATCAAGCAGAGGTAAGGACGAATAAATACGCAAAACAGTCCCAAATGGGATGAACAGCCTATGAGAGGAGATGTGTTTCAAACAGTAATGAAGAGATTAGGGAAAGGCACTTGATTTATAAGTTTCAAAAATAAATGTATTTTCAACGACCTGAACCCTTTATTGCGCAACCCAATCCTTGTGCAGACAGGGGAATGGTTCCAGCAGCCACGCGATGCCAGAAAGCGGCTGCTGCAACGAACCCAGCATACCAAGACCCCTCGATCTCCACCGACCGTGCGGTCTCGGACCTGCAGCTCATGGGAAAAACTGTTCGGTCGCGCTAGCTTCCTCAATCTCGCGGATGGAGCGTGCCCGCGTCAACGAGGGAAGACACCTGGACGTCTCAAGGTCGTTGTTGCGCTCGCAGCTAGCCGCTCATTTCGCGGTTTTTGAGGATTATCCCTACAGAAAAAGCCGACACAAAACGAGCCCCTGCCGTCACGTGATTTTTGGGAGAGAGTGAAAAGAGGAGGGCGCGAGGGCCATTTTCCTACCTTGCGGAAAATGGTTTCGTTGGTCGGTCTTTAACGACTAAAGTCGAAATCTGATTGACTCAAGGAGCAAAAATGTTTGTCCACGACTCACCACGCCCTGCATTTCTTAAGCTTCCAGTTATTGTAGTAAAATTGTTTCACGCCTAAAGAAAACAATTAAGCCTAAAGACGATTCTCGCAGTACTTGAAAATGCGTGAGCTTGAAACTATATGCTTTCTATTTAAGACGGTCTGGAAACACATTTACTCTATTAATAAGCGTTTTTCATCCCTACGTGTCACCCTCGTAACCTTTGAATTCAAGCCCAAAGGCATTGTTTAGGAATAAAGCCTTCCTTTACCTGTGCATCCAGCACGTGTCATATCAATTACCGTGGTTGATATCTAGAAACACCAGAGAGCGGTGTAGGTGCGGGTAGCTTTGTTTTTTCAAATGAATGGCTAAGATTACGTTTCGCCTTAACGCAGAGCTTGCCTTCGTGAAAGTTTGAAAGGAAGGGCTAAATAAACTCCAAAATATTAAAGTTTACATTTTATACCAGCAGAAATTAGAGGTACCTTCCCAGCGACTGACCTAAATGTTATTTTTTTAAAGCGGGTCTCTTTACTTACAGTGTCATCGGAAGATTACAAGACTTTGTCGGCAGCCTTCACACTCTACAATCCCAGGTTTTTGTCGGCATGGCGTCGGGCTCTTGAAAAATCTTCGGGTCTTCCAGATTCTTCTCTCCGAGTAACCAAGATTAAAGCGGTAAGAAGCGGGGTAAAAAACTAGTTATGCTAATAATGATTCATTCAAGTCTTTTAAGGACAAAAATGCCAGTTAATTTATAAAACTTTGCCAAGGGCAACTTCCCGAGGCTCCTATCAAAGGCGTGTAAAACATTTCATTTTCAAAATGCTCCCACAGCCCTTGATTTCCATCCCCATCCAGCCAATGATGTGACCTTCATATGATTGCATTCCGGCCAGCGTCAGTTTATGAAAAATATGTAGTGCTTCAAAACGTTCACAATTTTGGTGATGCCGCCAGCCTCGGCCAATAACTACCTGATCATAGCTGAAATACTGAAATTGGATGGTAATTATCTTAGCAATGAACGCAAATAATTGTATTGTCCGAGACTTTTATGTATTTGTACTAAGGTTTCATGAGCTTACGAGTTTTATATTGCGTCTGTAGCTGTTGAAAACTAACCTTGCATGGAGTAGTTCGGAATCAATCATTCATTTTAAGGACACGACTAGCATTCGTGCTATAAAGACTTCAATTACGTGATTGCCGTCAGCTTTGTAATAAGTATAGCTAAACTGATTTGCGCATGATGCATTTGTATAAACTGAACTGTGTTTCGTAATACTAAATATTTTATAAAACAAAATAAATGCACAGGTAAAAGCGGGTTGCAAAAAGAAAATCTGGGGAAAGAGGGGAAGAGAAATTTTTAAACTCATTGTGAAAGGCCGGTTTTAGAAGAGGGTAAAATAAGAAAAAAAAATGTGCAGTACGCAAAAAGAAGTGGGAAGCAGACTACGTCGCCGTCATATCTGTTTATTTCGGGAGCCAGAAACCTACGTCTGTACTTCGACGTTCCGCACCTGTACGTAAGTTAAAATTACAGGTTTACGTGGCCCTGCAACAATACTCTGACAATTGCTAAGTGACGTTCAGATTGACTCGTTGACGTCTATAATAAACAAAACGAGTTATTCAATTTTTCTGTTTTGGAACTATAGCCGCTGAAACAGAAATTGAGAAGAAGCGGCCACATTATCCACCGCCTGTCGTAATCCGTTAGCTGAAGGTCGTCGCCGCCAACTAGCTAGAACTGGCAACGCAGAACCCAGCATGCGTTCCCTCTCACAGACCCAACTTTTATTTTTTTTTTGTTACCCGAGAGATTGAATACGAACCCCAATACGGATGTCCACCTGCACTCTAAACAAAGTGTGTGGGCTTACTTTCTCGCTGAACACTTAGGCGGCTAATTACGGTGAACACTAGAGGAACCCCAACGAATGTCGAAGCTCGCAATGTGATTGCACCTAAAAGTCTCATGTACGCAGGGACAATGAGCATGAAACTTCACTAGCTCAATTGTCTATGGGGACATCGCATCTTTCAGATTCATATTGAGCCTTATCACTCGCTGGGACACATTTTTTTGTTCACCATATTTGGTTATCTCCATGCTGAGTAAAAAAATAAATGACATGTCTTTTTTTCTTTTTTTTAGAGTGTGGTCGTTGCTTGTACTCGAGCTGAGGCCAAGTTCTAGCGCATTGCTCTTGCTCGAATCATGAGGCGCCTTAGTCAGCGCAATCTTGAATTTGCCTCGCTGCTGCGCCAAAGAGGTTTTTCGAAGGAGGGGCCGGGGAAAAAACGGTTCGCATATATTTTATAAATGCAAGGACCAAATGTTTTTGGTAATATAAATTGTTTCAGTAAAATGTATGTAAGGTGCGGGAAGTCCCATATTATTTAAATGGGTCGTTTAAATAAGTCAACACTTGACTTTACCGACGATGCTCGCATATCAAACTTGTCGTTCGTTTGATATGTTTGAAGCAAAGCTTAATTTTAAAGTTATAGTCGAGTTTTTTTTCTTTTTTAAGAACCGATATATTTATTACCTTTGAAGTAGCGAGAAGGATTTAATGGTTTAAAGTTAATCATAAATGGGCAAAATGAAATTCAAAAATTTAGAAACAGATTAAGCACTTTTATGCAAAAGTATTTAACATTTTATATTTTGCCTCTTATATATTTTGTTCTACTTTATAATCTTGTCATATCCTTCTTAAAACAACACACAATATTTACGACCAATCGCAAGTTTTTTTATAAGTTTTCAGCTGGCCAGTGGCTGATAAATATTTAATCAGAATAGGGATTTAAAGCAAATACAGCCACCTGTATTACCTAGTTGAAATTGGATTCTGCCAAAAGATGTCAATCAGGTCTCCACATCCTCGAATTCTGAATTTCTGTGCACATGCTCGTCACCATTTAGGTATTGCTTGATTTGTCATTGCTGGCCTATATTACTGACATGTTGACTGCTTGAAGAAACCAAGTTAATGGGACAACTGAAATCTTGAGACCAGAAATACCAGCTCAGCAAACTAACACTATACCTTACATTTGCCTTGGGGGAACATTCTATATGAAAGGCTTGAAGCATATGCACACTAAGCGAAGGCACACCTTTGGTTCTCATCGTGCAATATAAAACGTACCTTACGTGTAATGTTCGCCACACTGGTTAATTGGTCTGTTTTATTATTTTATGATGACAATACGCCCGTTGAAACTTTAGAAACTCCTAAATCTCCATAGGCATATTACCCAGTCCCCTTATGAGCGATCCACTTCTCCACCTTCATATCAAAATTGTGCTTTACCAATTAGGCTCCTGCTGCTTCCGTCCAGTCATTTCTATAACATTGTTAGCAAGTTGCTCGAATCAACTGACTTTTTCTAGTCATAATAACACAAAAGAGGCGCACGCTTAAATTGTTTTGAAACAAATATTACTCTATATACAACTTTCTTTTCAAAGTAACAAAAATTTCAGCCGAGGTTATAAACTCTAAAGTCACTGGCGGCTTAAGAAACTCGGGACTTGGCGACTTTCGTGGGTCTGGTTATCAGTCGCCACCTTAACGCCGAAGAACCAGTCATGAAATAAGAATTCTTAACATAATTGGCCACGCCATACATTCCTTAAGCAGCCAGTGACACACAATGGCATAGCGACATGAAAATTCTCTCTAGCCCAAACTTCGCGATTGTGTCCTATTTTTACCTTTTTCATTATCATTGCTAATTTCATCGCGGAATGGTACTCGAAAATTAAAATTGCCTTGTCCCTTGGTAGTTTTTTTTTTTTTTTTTCAGAGAATTACCGGTGCTTTTTTAGGCATTTTGTTTTTGTCATTTGCAGGCATTAGACAACAATGCGTTGGTTGTCCAGTTTACCATGTTAGACCGGTTTCCCGCTCGTGCTCATACCGGTATCATTGATGATCAAGTGACCCTAAAAGAAATGAAGTCCAACCTTCAGGCGGCGATTGATGCCGGGCAACTGGGTATTCAATACAAAGGGGTAAGTCCTAGTCGGCTTTTATATTTGTTATTTTAGTATAGTTGAAAACAAATACGTAGGATCAAAAGCAACTTTAAATGAATGCTTTACCATGGAATACCATGTTAGGTTTTATCGTTAAAAGAAAACACAACATATAGCACACCGAACACCAAGACCAAAGTTGAAGTAGTAGACACAAGTGCTAACTGACAAATAACAATATTTAATTGAAGAAGAAACGGCACTGCAGCCTCAGCGGAAAACGACGAACTCACAAAAGGACACTACTTAAGAATCTCACATATTCTAACCACTGTCAATAAAATAATTTCTTATGCAATATGATAAGTAGTCATGATTATGAGGTTCTTTAGCGTTTGGGTTCGAGTTTTTTTGTGGTAGCTGCGTTGCATTATTCTCAGATTAAAAATCATCAGTTGTCACTTAGCGCTTGTCCTGTATACGATTTGCACTTTGGCTTTTAAGTTTCGCGCTTTAAATTTTGTTTTCTTCAGTCATGAACGACCTAGCCCACATAGCCACTATTATCGGTAAACGGTTGAATTTCATACTCACCGCAGTCTTTTTAACATTTGACTTCACTTCGTGGCCCGGCCACGTAACAAATAATGAATTATTTGCACTTTTGTTTTGCTGATCATTTGAATATATTCTCAGCTGATGTTTTGTAAATAAGTATTGAAATACACCGAGAAATTATATTTTTATGGAAACAAAACAAGTCCTGAACCGTTTGTGTTTCACATGTTCGATAACATTTTTAAACAGCCGCATGGGTTAACTCAGGTGACTGCCAAACGTAACAATAAATCCTGGACCAGAATACCCCAACTATTCACTTAACATTATCGCTGCAGAAAAAGCCGTGAACCTGACCATATACTATCGAACACTTGTTTTTAGCGGACGATTGTTCTCTTTATAATTTTGTAACACAGCGTACACATGTAGTTTGTGCCAGCTGTCATGTCAAACATTTTCCTTTCAAATCATTCTGCTTTTAGTCAGCAGCAATTTCTACTTTAAAGTTTGAAAACATTTTTTGGGCTTAACACAAAGTTCACAATCTGCGCCATTCTGACGGAGAGAATGAAATTTACTCCCAAAGTATTTGGAGTTCACTCAGCTAAAAAATACCCAAATTTACCCCCGATGAACACTCATTGAATAAGTTCATTGTATTCATAACTAAATAAAGCCCAATTTGAAAATCGTTTGTCCAATACGAGCCTTTAAATACGGCGTGCAGGTGTCAACACGTTCTGCGAATACGAAGATGTACGGCATGTTTAAAATGAATAAGAATCCCCTATTGAAAATTCCATCAAGATACGTAATTTGGGACATTGACTGCCAGTCAGCAGCCTTGATGGAACGTGCCCTGATGGTCCATCAGATCACATCTGACTGCCACTGCCAAGGGAATTTCATCAACAGGGGCAGCATTTATATAAGAGTAAAGCTATACGCATTCATAAATATCGCCAAATGCCTCGACAAAACAAAATGTTCGAGAAAAGAAAAAAGAAGAAAAAAAAAGCAGGCCCACCGTGGATCGAACTCGCGTCCACTTACGTACAAAACGGACACCTTAACCCCTATGCTATGCCATCGCTTAGGAAACTCGATTTGACCATTCGTTTTATACGAGTTTAGTGGAGTGCGTATAGCCATTTTTGTCCGAAGTGCACTCCGGAGTGCGTATAGTTTTACTCTTTATACAAAGCTCGAATTCCGAGGTGGCAATCTTGGATGGCTATGAAACGGTTCACAAGCCGAGGTGGCCATCTTGCATGGCTGTGAAACGGTTCACAAATCCTTAAAATGAATGTAATTCATGACATCAAAAATCAGAAGAAGTGTGTACCCGTCTGTTGGTTTCTTTTTTTTTTCCCCCTTTTGAAATTTGCGTTTTTCGGGCAAAAAGGGACATTCGTTTACAAACGGGACCACATGCACCGTAAGCATGTTTCAAAGAAACGCCGTCGATGTCTGAACCTTTCGGGACGACCGTATACACTTTAATTCACAAAACCTATGCGACTCCGTTGAAGGTAGAGAGCAAGCATGCATGCTACAAGACAGCCCTGGCTTCCACGGACGAACGCGAGCAGCAGACATATCTGAACTACGCTTGCGGATGCTTTTTGTCTGCACTCTTCATGAAACAATAATAATGAGGTGCGACACAGCGGTAAGGCCAATAGCCCATGTCAGATAGAAAGGTATAAACTTTCTAGCCCAAACCTTTCCGACTGGGTCAGGCGCATTCTAGTATTGCAGCGCGAGATTCTGACAATGAACGCATCGCTCTAAAGAATGCTTCGGCTGCAAATGCAGCTAAACCTTCAGCATGTTATGCAAAGCACTCGTACATCACTCGCCGTACTTCAGTTCTACTCACTCGCCATGTAGAGTACTTTCGCGTCGTAGAACGATCCTTTTGTTCGCGCGTCTCCGGCCCAGTAAACCTGGTACACCTTGTCGTCTTCAACTGCACCACTAAAGTCCCTTACATTGTCGGAACTCACAACAGGCTGGGTCCTGTCGATTAGAAATTCTACTAAAATATAAGACATTGTAGAGCCCGGGCAGGATCGACAGGTTGTAGCAAGCGGGCAAACAAAACGAGTCGAGAGCGATCGTTCATGGAAGCTCGGCGAAGCCTCTATGGGCGAAGCGAAAGTAGCGTGTTCGGCGTTTCGGCGGGCTTCTGATCAAGGTTGTCGGTCGGTTGCGCGTCATATCTCTAACATCAGCGGTTCTATGGGCTCACGTCCCGAAATCTTTTTCTCAAGCATAGATTATTTTTCGTATTCATAGATTTGACGAAATAGTGGCATCCGAACGAACTTTACGTCCTTTGACCGTACGTCTGTCTGACGAATGACGAAAGACTAATAACGTCTGTCTGCACGTCAAAACTTTTTGACGCACAGTCAGAGACAATCGATGTACAATCAGAATCGCCACCAAGACATCTTGACGGCATTTCGCGGCGGCCGACTGCCACCAGGAAACCATCAGAAAGCCGACAAGCAGAGTCTGACTGGAGTTTGACTGTCGGTCAGAGTAACTTGTTGGCCAATCAGACATGCTTGACGTACAGTCAGGTACAGTCAGCGGTCCACTAGAAAACATTGACTGCCAAACAGGGTTACATTGATGAATTTTTCATTCGGGTCTGCCTTCAATAAAATAAAAGTAAGGAGCAACGATTTATGTTAAATTAGAAAGAACACCTCTTTAGGGCCTTTAATCACGTGGTTCTTTCAAACTTGACGTGAGGCGTCGTTTCAATGCTTTTGAGATAGTACTTTAACATTACAAAAAGTTTTAAAATTCAAAATATCTCTTGAAACATACTTCACAAAATACGAATGCAAGGAACGGGACAATTTGTGTGAAGATTCAAACGGAATCTATGTCAGGTTTCAATATTTAAAAAAGAGATCCTGGTTGAATATAAACAATTTGGAATGCATTCCATTGCAGATGAACCTTGTGGCGTCGTCAGAGAGCCTGTTACCAGTCACTGCTGTTCCAGACACCCCTGTTCCAGGCACCGCTGTTCCGGGCACCATAGTTCCAGGCACCGAACTGTCCACCACCTCCAAATCGTTCACTGACGAATGGGAAGTCATCACGGACCCTGACGACGAGACGACGACAGTCGTCGTTGTCTCAACAGACGCCCCACTGAATGAGTTCGCAAGTGGCAGGTACTCCGCCGCTACGATTGCTGGAACCACGACTGCCATGTTCGTCCTTGGAGCCTTGTTGGGAGCATCCGGCACTTATGTAAAATCCAAAGTAATAATCTCGGGTGAACCGGTGAGATATAGGTTCTGGGCATAGGATACATGGAATATTTGGAGCAGAAGAGAGCATTGCATTCCCTTTAAACAGCGTGAAGATTTTTCGAAAATCTCCGAAGGTTGCAGGTACTCGCAATCGTCTAACACTTTGCTATGACCAACAGGCTTATTTAAGATGGTGCATCCAATTTCTTTAGTGTAATTAAAGTATTTATCTGAATATCGTCTCTTTTCTGTTGATATTTATTATTTCTATCATCACATTATATAAGTGCTATGATGTGCGCAGCATGTCTAACGGCACTCATAACCAAAAAGACTTGGAAATCGTAAAAATATAGAACACTGTATCCGTGGTCAAACCTGTGCATGCAGAATCAATCTAAAATCATAGGCTTGCATTACGCGGTTGAGTTCTTGACATAGGCGAAAGCTGACAGAGCTGGTACACGGCAATAAACCACAGAACACTTTTAGTCAACCTATATTTTAGTTTGGACACCTTTACGCCAGAAACTTGAGCGTACTGTGCTTTGTTTTGTGATGTAGCTCATGGGTATTATATTGATACTCAGAAATGTAGATAAACAGACCCTCTAGCAAGAGGGTCAATGTCAAGAATATATAACAAGACATAGCATACATATCAGTTCGTTCTTGCAATTTTCAGCAAAGTCAAACTTCCTATTAGATGTCTTTATTTTCATGCAATATTTACAAGCACATACGAAAATACCACACCGGCGATGCTTCGAATGATAAAGATCACGATGACTACCTAAACTAAATAAGGAAAGGACATGGCCGGATTCATTTATCGTGTCGCAGTTCGTTAGAAATACTTTACCGGTGTTTTCTCTGGTAGACATTGCAGTTCCATTCTTATTTTTTATCTGTATAACTCATTAGTCCTTACCACCATCGGGGGTTGCAACTTATTTCCATGGAGCTCAACATTGCTTAGGGTATGAAGATTCTCAGTTAGCGTTTTGGATACGGCGGAGAATAGAATATTTTTTCTGCAAAAAACGGGAAACGTAAAACGAATGAACCTCACGTAATGAAAAATACGAGTCAATAAATAAGTTAGATAGGAGACTGGGAGGCATAAAGATAGAAAATGCGGGAATAAAGGTTTCACACGCCGGAAAATTGTTTTTGGTGTCTGTTAAGCCACTAATAATTTGCAGAAGTTGTAAAAATAATGAGTCGTTTGTGTAATATCTGTAGTCACTATTTTTTCTGAAATAATTAGTTAAATTTCGCTGATAAACTTCTTAAATTGATCATGAGAAGTTTTTGCGCTTAAACTAAGTACCGCCAATCATTCTTTGTAGGGCTCGAACAGCCATTTAATTTTTCTTGGAAGTTTAGGCTAAATGTGCCAGTTTTTGTGTCAGAGACTCAAGGTTCACTTAAAGCACTGAGTCGGCCGACTCGCAGTGAACCTGGAAAAGTGCCCGCTCATTTTAGAACCAAGTTATTCCAGTTGAATAAAACCACTGCGTTGACACTAGAATTTAACCCTTCTTTAAATACTTCCTCTGGGTTTGTAAATGAACAAACAAATCATACGCTACGATAATGTTGAACCGCCACCTACAATCAGAAGTGTGTCAAACTATTTCTTTGTAAAATATACCCGAGACTTTGGTAAACAAATAAAAAAAATGCAAAACACGAAAAAAAATATTCACAAAAGGAAGCGTCGCATGCTCAAGTGCTACGTTTAATTCACCGAGTTCTTAGGTAACGACAGTCTAACCGCCACCCATAACCGTGACTTCCTTTTTTCTTCCCCGACTTCAACATTTTTCATGTTACCTTGACGCAGTTACGTGTAGTTTTACGTCATTATCTTACACCAGCTTGCCTGCGCGTTCCCTCTTTCTTTTTCTTACACATGTGTAGTTGCAACATGGTGGATCAATTGGTAGAATATACCGTACTTGCTCGAGAAACAGCCGCACTTCCTATGATCAAGGCCCTTGTGTTTACTTTCCTGCATAACACACATACAGCCAATCATCGCGTTTTGCATGAAAAATGCAGTGAATAACGAGATCCAGAACATCGTTCACCGTAAAAATTCGATCTGAGTAGATAGCCATTTTCCGTGAAGACGTTACCTCTGTCATGTAAATCGCTACTATTTTTCTGCCAATCGCGGTGATTTGTTATCCCCGTGCTCCGCGAGAAAGCAGGCCCTCAAACCTTGTTCATAAGTGCAGCTATTACTCGAGCAAATACGGTACACCGCTTATCAGCAAAACTTCGGGTTCTCTTCTTTGCATGTTAACCCCTTCAAGCTATGGCAAATTATTAAGCACGTTTGGGAAACATAACAGTTCACATACTGACAAACAAGTATACGAAAGGATTTTAAACCACAAAGTCAAGTCCAAAAATTATGTTTTAAGGTTAGTCGAGAATGCCAAAATAAGGTGTAAGATTTGAATTAAAAATCCCGAAAAAGTTTGAGGTTATAGTAGCAACGTAAACAACATGTATACATAAATAAGTATGAAATATTAATATTCCCTACGAAGAAAAGTGTTTTTTAAATTAAAAAGAAACACTTTTTAAATGGCGTTGAGATAATGATTATCATAAAATTTCTTCAAATCTCAGTCAAAAAAAAAAAAAAAGATGTCTCACACACAGCTGAATTGGTAGTGTCTGCCTCCTATTTGGACCTACAAGACTCAATTCATCGAAGTAGTCATCCTCGTCAACGTCCCGAAAGTTGTCTCAAACAAAAGGTCTCTAACTCAAATCACACGGCAGCGTAAAGGCACCTTTGGCACATGTACCTATAGTAAAGGGAGCTAGAGATCGTGATCACACGGCGCATAAAGGTCCCTTTCGCTAAGGGAGGTCCTGTGATAGAACGGAGCTCGCCAAGCTCCCTTTACAGGTACAGGGAGTAGCCTCGGACCCACAAACTCAAGATAAAAATCAAAGATATATAAATATATCTTGTTTTATGCTTTATAATAAATTAAATATGTAAAAGTAGCAAATTATGAAATGATTGTGAACACATATGTGATGGAATAATACATTAACGAGGAACGCATACTCCAGCTAGCAGGTAGCTGCGGCGGCACGCGGAAAACGACGTATGCTACGAACCGGAACGCGGTGGACCACTGCGAGCTCTTTTCGGAGGTTGTAGGCGAGTCGTCCGACTCTCCCGCCCAGGACCTCTTATCCTCGTCGTCGTCAATCCCTTTTGATGGCGGGACTGGCGTAACCGTGAGGCTCCGACGTAGTTCGTTTCTGCCGGGCACTATTTTGCTACTTCATTGAGAATTTTGCGGCAAAATGGAGCTGCTAAACAGAAAAGGTCGCTCAGCTCGCAATGAAAACTCGTAAACGATGATGATTTAGGCCAGTGTGGTCAGAGGGCTCAGACGTTTTAAAGCAAGAGTCATTTAGGTGCGCCCTTAGAGAAAAAATGAAGTGCCTCTAAAGCAAACACAAATATTATATACGTTTTAAATGGGATATTTCACACACAATAATCAAAAATTGCGTGTCAAACCGATTTCGAGGAATAATTGTTTATCACGCGCTCCTGTCACGGTTTAGCAGAAATGCAATCGACATCAACTTAAAGTGCTCCGTTTATTTATCGTGTGATCAAGAACACCGTTTACTACAGCTGGGTACCTCCAGCTAGGGGACCTAAGCTAAAGGTACCTTGACGCTGCCGTGTGAATTGGGTTGCACTCTCCGACGACGCCCGAAACTGCCATCCGGGAAAAACGTCTCATGCTACAAGGTGTTCATTTATGGCCATCCGAATAAAAGCTAAACACAATACCCATTCCTATCTAAAACATTTTCTTACTGTTAACTGGTATATAAAGCTGGCTTTTAATTTCACCATTAAATAAACAGTATTTTTTAATCTTTTTCATTCTAAACTGTGTTTTTCTTAATGTGGTTCATCGTATGTCTAGTGACGATTAAACATATCCCACAACATTTTTTACGCACTATTATTAATATCGTTACTTAAATTTTAACTTTTTCGCCCTAAGAATGGGGTGTCGCAAGCAATAAATGACCACTCAAGATACGGAAAAACCAACATTCAGTACAAGATAACGTATTTTGGGATTTTAAGCCAGAAGCGCCATTCTTCAAATATATTTTTATTGATACCATTTCCTAACATGCGCTGCTCTTCAAGTTTTCACTTCATGCGTGAAGACGTTTGAGCGTTTCAAATTCATAATAAAAAACCAGCGCACAGGTCCACAGTCACTCAAAAATCTAAACCCACAAAAAAATACACTCACACAGCGCAGAACTATCATCTCATAATCCGTATTTAGTGAAACTTCCCCTCTTCGACCCCAAAGAATAAGATGCCAGCCCAACAACTAGGAGAGAGAAAAAGTGAAAGACAAGGGAAACGGAGTAAAGACAAAAGACAAGTGAGAGGGAAATATGACAAAGAAAAAAATATTATAATAATAATAGCACTGCAGAGTTCAAGAGTTTCAAAATTTGGCATTATTCCTTCAGGTGAGGCTAAATCTACTAAATATTGACGATTCCTACCTGGTTCGAAGTTCCTACGAGGTCTTCAGCTTTTTATAAGATCATCGTCATGAAGAGCTAAAGATAATTTTCATTGATATCAAGCGCCTATATTATTTCTTATCCCAAGAACCTCTCCTTAAGTGCGTGGAAGACAGGATTGACACTTTTGGTGTCATACCATTTTAGAATGTCCCAAAGTCAGTTTCTGGTCTTACTTAAAGGGACACTGACAGGGTATTTATGCTCGCCGAAGTTTTTAGTTGTACGTGACATATGAGACCCCAACCACCCGCAACACAATTTGCGGCTCGAAATTCGTTTTCTTACCGCCCGAGAACCGCCGATCAAGAACTGGCCGGTTTGAGTCACGCTCACTCTCTTTTCCGTGGTCACGGGCCGTTTTCTAAGGTTTAAACACAACCATCAAATTTAATCGAAGTCATTAGTTATTGAAGGTGCATACTCAGTATTAAAAATAGAAAA